AATTGATGATCATCTTGGGTCTAACTACTTTAATCCTATATTTTACAAGTGTTAGAACCATTTGTTACTGGATTCAGTAGCTATAATAGAAAGTGGATACATCAGCTTTTTGAGATGCATTCAGCAGCAGGACTGATGAGCAGATTTTTATCTAAAGCATCACGTTGAACAAAATATGACTCAACATAAATCCTGTCAGTGAGTGCTCAGTCAGTTGTACTGTCTGCAGATCATTCCCTACAGCAGTGTAATGGGTGTAAGAATAATAGATGTTTTGTAGATCCTTCTGATTTTTTTTGTTGTTGTGGGGGTTTTATTTGTTTGGGTATTTTAAACCCATTGTTTAATTGTTTTCATGGCGAAAGGAAGATGTTTGAAATTTTAGTTGTATTATGTCTCTGTTTGCTGGGGAAAAATTGCTGTTCCCCATTGGAGCATTAGGTTAGGTGATGTAAGCATTTCACTAGGGGCTTTGCTGTCGCTGACTCTGAGGTGGAGAAGTAACACTCGTGATCATGTAAGTAGTACACTTGGCATAGTATAAAAGTCTGTATTAGAAGAATAACTAAGAGTGCTTCAAAGAACACTAAGCTATTGCCTAGTAAGGCTCTGATGAAAGGAATAAACAATATAATGTAGAGCATATATATATATATATGTCTAGTTTGTATCCAGTAGGGGCCATATTATAGTTTGCTCCCTGCAACTCCAAAACATGAATTACCTAAACCAGGGGAACAGTTAATGTATTCCTCTTAGTCTGTTCTGTAGTTACCACCTCCACTTAGGAAAATGCAGGATAAATTCAATTGCTTTTACTTTCTTCCCTGCAGTTTGCATGCAAATATTGAATATTCAGTAACTCGGCAGGATATTTGGTGTAAGTGATTATGATGCCAAGTCTTATGGCTATAAAGACTGAACTTTTTTTTATATGTATTTTGAGGATGTATAAAGTGTATACAAATAGAGAATCTCAACTGCAAAGTAAAAGGACCTTTAAACTGAATAATATAATTTATATTAGCTTTTGTGTTTCTACATAATGCTGGTTGTGTCTCTTCCTATTTCTGTGCTCTTTTGTTAAACTGGCAATAAAAATTGCAGACATTGAACTGAAAAACTTCAGTTTTCTTGTAACATTTTAGAGCTCAGGATTTATGAGGGGGTAAAGTTTGGATACAACTATACCTTTTTTGTGGAAAAATTGCTTGAGTAGTTCTCAAGGCTTTTGGATTCAATCCGAGTTCTTGCATGTTAACTTTAGAAGTTTATATAACATAGACAAGTTGACTAAATATTGTTAGCTAGAGGTTTGAAATGTTATTTTTCAAATTATATGGAAATGTTTCCATAATCTGTATACAGTTGGATATAATTTTATATTTGTATTAAACTTCCTTATTTTTCTTAGAAGGCTCTTTAAACAAACTTCAAAAATTGACCTTTTGCCCAGTGAACTTCTAAACACCTATGAAAATAGAATGTGCTACAGTTGGTAATGAGAAAAGGCAATGTATGATAAGTTGATGTTTCTTCTGTGGGTGTTCCAAGAGCAACAATAATGTAAGAAAACATTCCCCTTTTTGTTCCAGTAAAGGAACACAGTAAAACTAGCATAGTTTAATACTATCTAAAATTAACTGGGAAGTTTAAAAAAGAAAGTAGAATGAAAATAAAATTTGATTAAGACTTAGTAGCTATGCTGTATGGCTCTTTGAGCATAGCCAATTTGCCCTCTACTTCTACCTACATTCTATGTCTTCTTATTTGTTTTGTTTTGTTTTCTATTTTTATTAAACCAAATATAAGGAAAAAAATACAGCAATTTCTGGTTGTTCTAGTTCTGTGTGCATCTGTGTTGTCAGTCATGTTGTTACTGGCAGCATTCCAGTGCCAAGCTGCAGAGGAAGTAACAACTTGCTATTTACAGTTTTTTGAGTCTTTTGCAAAGTGATCATTTTACTTCGTCATGTGACCATAGTCCTCAGATTTCCGATCTTTTGAAAGGTGTTTTTTTTTTAAACTGAGAATGTAACTGGGATTGCATCACAGCTGCAACTGCTAGGAGCTAAAGACTGCTCAGGGAGCATTTAGAGCATGCTGTATGTGATCATTCATGTGCACCATCATGGCATATTGAGCATGTCCCAAGTCAAACTTCCTTAATACTGTTTTTTGTGGTTGTTGTTTTTGCCACTTTGGATTGGGATACTGGAGAGAGACAAACTTGTTTTCCCTGTATTCTTAGCCATAACCCTTGCTTGTAGGTGCTAGAATAGAGTGAGTGAGCCCAGTTTAAAACAGTGCTGGCATTTTACCCTGTGTGTATTCGAAGCTGTGCTTCCACTGGCTTCAGCTTTGGTTGGCAATGCTTAGCAATCCTGTGCAGTCAAATGCAGGTTGATGTCAGGCACGGAAGAATGAAACACAGCAGTGACCACAGTGAAGAAATTTGCATCGGTAGGAAAGTTGTTTCAGCTGTTCCCTAGGATCTCATCTCTTTCTTCTGATTGATATATTACATGTAATGTTGCAGAATCTAGTAAGTAACATGCTGAGGCTTTTGTGAGCCTAACTGGAGTTTTGGTGTTCTGGAAGCAGTTAACAGTTCAGTAAGTGGAAGCCATCCCATTGCTCAGCAGAGTTCATAGTATTATAATATGTTAAGGGGTTGGAACCAGCTTAGACATCTAGTCCCAACCCCCTGCCCTGGGCAGGGACACCTCCCACCAGAACAGGTTGCTCAAGGCTTTATCCAACCTGGCTTTGAACACTGCCAGGGTTGGGGCAGCCACAGCCTCCCTGGGCAACCTGTGCCAGTGTCTCACCACCCTCACATTGGAAAACCTCTCCCTAAAATCTAATCTAAATTTCCCTCTTTCACTTTATACCCATTACTCCTTGTCCTGTCACTGCAGTTCCTAACAAAGAGTTGGGTTGTGTTGTTCCACATACTGGTGCAGAAAGCTTAAAAATCTAGGGCAGCATGAAAATGTAGAACACTGAAATAGATTACTGAAACTGAGATAACAATCAGAATGTAGGAAGCTTGGAAACTTAATAGGAAGTCAGTTATCATATGAACTGAAATATGTAGGCACAGGGAAATGTACCTGTGGAAGGGTCTAGGCACTCGACATTTTGCTGCTTGCACAGTAAAAACTAGGCAGATCAGTGGTGTCTCTCAGCCCAATGTGTATTTTCTGCTATACATGCAGATGACATTACCCACAAGGATTCAATACGTGCAACCATGTGTTTCGTGGTTAAGGATTTTGTGCATGGATGATAGCTAGATTTGAGCAACATGTGTTAGGTTGCTCACATGGGTTCTCAGGGTAAAACGTTTCACTTTTTAACTTTTTTTAATTTAATTTAATTATTAATGGCCAAGCATCTCTCTTGCCATAATCCTCTGCAGAGACAGAAGGAAATTAGGTGGTTTCGGTTTTTGGAGCAAGACACATGTTCTCCATGTCTCTGCCATGGCATATGTCAGTCATTTCCTTTTTTTAGTTCATTAATTCCAATTACTTTGGGCTACCTGAAAGAGGTAGTGAGGAATTCAGGCTGTCTTAAGATCCACTTAACACCTGCTATGTCTCTAGCTGAAGATCTGGTCTTGGCATTGTAGTCACCTGTTTTTTTTCTCATTCTTTATCTTTCTTTCTTACCAGCAGGGACATGGTTTGTATATCTATTGGGAGGGAACTGAAGTAGTGCTAGGTATGCCGTGCCCTTACATGCCCATGCTCTGAGTCTGAAGAGGGCAGGACCACATTACAGGGTACACCAAAGGGATAAAAGCTCCTTTTATTGCAAATGTCACACATAAGTGTTAACTACATACTTCAGGTACTGCTAAACAATCTTCATTTCATAATTAAGATGACTTTAAGAGTGTCTTTTCCCCTCCTGGAATTTGCTGACACACTGATTACAGCTCAGCCATCTCCTGGAATAAGCAACACAGGCATCTGTCACAGAGATAAATAGACCTCTTCAAAGCACTGTTTTGATTCATTCCTGGAGCTGGTTCATTATGTGTGTTGGGCAGAGACTCGAGATCTCTGAGTAATTATCATGGTTGTGTAATTAAAGGCTGGCATAATACATATGCACAGAAGTGTAAAATTCAGGTAAAATGCAAATTGTTGTGTTTTCTCATTTTATTTTAGTGTCTTGGCTCTGCAATTATTTTTGGCAGTTACTCTTTAGTTTTGTTTGTTTTTCTTTTTAATTAACAGGTTATCAACACTGTGTTTTGAGACTTTTTAATCAGCCTTACTAATAAGATATTTAGAAGAAGAAAGTTGAGACCCAACTCCAACTGAAGGTTCATTTCACTTTGTGATCCTTCAGAAATCTGATCCTGCACATGCATATGTAATTTTGCATTGTGCTTAACATGTACATTTTGAGAAGTCTGTGTCATGGATACAGCCAAGGGCTGGGATTTAAAGTTTTGGTACCCGTATCTTTTCTAAGAGCTATTACTCCTAAACTGTTTCTCTTTCTTGCAAGACTAGAGTATTGTAAGAACTGAAATATGCTGCCATATACACTGGCAGCTAACCAGGGAGGAGCTGCTGTCCGTACACAGCAAAAGTACAATCCAACATGGCCAGGCTGGACTTAATGCTTACTGAATGATTATTGTGTAGCCAAAGGCAGTGCCTTGTAGCTGGAGATTTCTTTTTTATCCATAATGTAGTTTATCTAAGTAGGTCTTAGGAGCTGTGTCTTCTCTAGCAAGATGTCCCAGCAGATATTTCAGGTGCTGGAGTTTGGGACTTCTTTTCCATGTTATTTGTTGTACTTTATCAGTCTGTGTTTTAGACAATATATTTTGATTTTCATTTATGGCCCTAGTCCCAGAACTTCCTTGCAAAGTTCTTATGTGCTACTAAGGATCTTTATGAATTTTTTATGTTGTTGGGCTAGTTTGGCAGTAAATTGGTGGCCTGTGGAAACAGTGCAAAAGGAAAATCCGGAAGATGGAACAGTATCAGTTCACAAAACCAGGAGAACCTGTTCATGAGAACAGAGTGAGAAATGAGGAAACATAATTTTGTGTGTGTGTGTGTGTATGCAGAAGCACCAATCTTCTTGGAAGAACTTGCTGAATTTAGGAAGTAGTCATCAAATCTGCTGAGTACAAATGGGTTACTACTGAAATGAAAGCTACTAAGAAGTAGGGTAGTAGCCCTTTTACTTAGGAGCTAGAATGTTAGCCCTGACTTGTTTGTTTTATCACCCACACTACAAAATCTGTAGTCTGCATGTGTTATGCACATGCCACAACATACAAAATCTGTTGTGTCTAAAATTTCCTTTACTAGATTTTTCTTGCTCAACTGCTGTAGTGGGAAGTGTTACAATTGCCTAGGTAAAGGGTTTTGATTAAATCGATCCTCCTGTGTCCAGTGTAGGTCTAATTCCATCTTGAAAATGTATTGCAGGTTTTTGTGCCCCTTAAAAGATTAGAAAGATCCTGCATTCTAGCAAACCTGCCCTGCATAGCTTTGCCTTGATACTATGATTTTGATTCCCTTTTTTCACATGTGTCCATGTGCATAGCTCCTTGGGAAGTCTTAGAACAAAGCAGGACCTCCCCAGGATTTGCTGTTATTGTAGTATGCTTTAAATGTAACATACAAATGTTAATAAAGGGCAGTTAATTTCAGTTTATAGGTTGTGTCCTCTTCTGAACTCACACCTTCCGACCTCTAAGACTGTAATCTCAGGAATGTTTAAGGCTGGAATAAGCTATCATTGTGGCAAAAGGAGCAGTCCTGCCCTTTTGCTCTCCTGCCAGCGTCGGGTTTGCCAGCTCAGCTCTGCTACTGCTGTATAGTAAACCAGATCAGGGCACTGATCTGACTGAAACTGACTGATCTTCCCCACCCCTGCTTAGGATATAAGCTCTAGTTTGCTTTCATATTTTCTCTTCAAAGGGATGTCATAGTTCAGTACTACCACATCTGACCTCTTTATGTATACACAGTACCTATATAAAAGTGTATACATACAAGAAACAAATGGAAAAACACAACAAAAATTCTTGCTTTGAGGGAATGATACAGATTCTATTTAATCAGTTTACTAATATACCACAAGAATGGATTTTTTTTTTTTACATCCAAATTACTCTTTTTCTTTTCAATCTAACCTTGAATTTTTTTTAAGGCAGTGAATATGAAATACCCAAACTCTCTTCTTCTACTTTATATTATCAAGCAGTCGTTGTTCTAACCAAATTAGAGTTTTTTATTAGGAAAAACAAAATGCCCTCAGTGTGGGGTTTTTTGTTTGTTTGTTTTTTGGGTTTTTTTGAGAGTTCATAAAATACTTTCATGGAACTCAAATCACTTTTCCTTTAATTCCGGTTCTACTTTAGATTTCTTGGGCATACATTTCATTTTATATTTCAAGGTATTGATTTACTTGAATAGGTGAACAGGTCCCCTTTTAAATACACTGTGCAAGTGTTGGCATTCTAAGCAGCTCTAGAAGATGTAAAAATCATCGACAATGGAAACTGAAGATCAGTGAGCTCATTTGAGCTTTAGGGCTTTGTATAGCTTCTAACAGAAATCAAGTATTATTCTTTAGATGTCATGTTTGACTGCCAAAAAATGCTCAATAGATGAAATAAATGTGTGAAGGAAATAATGCTAGTCTACTTATAGAACATATATTAGCATGTTGGAGCAGGGAAGTTGGATTTCAGTTTAGAGTAGGCACTGTGAGAACATGACTTTTTTGACAGTAAGATGATCTGTATTTCAGAGTTTTTTGAAACAGCAAGCTTTTAATAATGTGTATTTACTTGAACTCCAGAACAGGGATGTTAAAAAAAAGCTGAATTTATACCAGTGAACTTATTCTCTCCTTCAGTTTTATTTAAAGGCAGCCTAAGAACAAGAGGGTTCAAGAGAAATAATACTTAAGACAAAACTTGTATTACATTTGCTATGGATACTACTGCTGCTTCTGTGAGGATTTTAAGTTTTATTCTTTCAAACAAGTATATTTTCTAGTAACCAGCACATGAAAAACATTTTTCCAGGAATTTTGGGGACACATTACAATGAAGGTTTCAGTTTGCACAGTAGAATGTTATACCACCCTTTATTATTTGTAGAATAATATACTATACAACCCCCCATTTTTTAATTATAGTGGTGAGAATAAGAAAATTCATGGCTTTTAGAAGCTGTCTGACTACAAGGGGCCATTCATTTATGCTGTCCTATTGCACACAGTACTCTACATGGGCATGGGTAGGTTGTTCCCACTGTGATTTTTCTTGAGCTTTGAAACTGGTTATTTTAAGCAGGCCTGCTAAAGATTGATTCTGGTTTGTTTTTATCTTTTCTTTTCCCCTTCTGCTTCTGAAACAGAAGCAGAACTACAGCAAATTAAAAATGGGAGATTCAAACAATACAAACCAACACTTGCTCAGGTTTTTGAGTGCCCTACTGTGAAGTGTTGTGTATCCTAGCTTGCCTTTGTTTTTCTTGCATCTAGTGTACTTTCCTTAAACCTGTGAGATTCATGTTAGACATTTGAAGAATTACTTGGTGCTTTCTGGAGCAAATGTGCCTGGTGACATCTCAGGCATTGCTTGCTGCTCTGATGTTAAAGCAGCACAGTGACAGAAGGCAGAGGGTGAAGCTGTAAACCAAAAGTCTCTGAATCAATTTCACTTCTCCATTGTAAACAATAATATTGCTTTATTTCTAAGTTCTTATTTAAATGATAATGTTTAGGATTAGCTATTGATTATATATATATATATCTTTAGAGATACTGAAAGCTTCTCTGCATAGCTGGACTGGGGAAAGTAGCAGTTGCAAAATGAAGGGTATAATTTAAATACCTGTAGGTTTATATCTATTAATTTTTACGGGGTTTTTTGGGTTTTTTTATATATAGAAAGTTCTGTCCAGAGGAAATGTACAACTGGATACTGGAGTTTATAAAACAAGAGATAAGCTGTGTTAGGAAATTATCTTTTCAATAACACTCTCTCTTTCCTTCTTTTTCTTTCTTCTAGGACCGGAATAGGCCCTATGACACTTTTAACTTGCACTCTTTGGAAAATTCCTTAATGGATATGATAAGGACTGATCATGAGCCTCTGAAAGGTAAACACTACCCTCCCAGTGGCCCACCAATGAGTTTCGCTGATATAATGTGGAGGAATCATTTTACAGGTTAGGAATATTCATATGTCCATGCTTGCTTGGTGTTTAAACAAAAATCAGCTTTTCAGTATTGCTATAAACTTTTTGCTAATGAGTTGTCAGTTATGTAAAACTTCTGTTTTACCATCTTAAGATAATCTTCTCTACTCTAGGAAGATAAGGTGCAATGTGTGTACATTGATTTGAAGTGTACAATCATAGTATTATCTGTCATATCTGAAACATGAGTTTTGTATCAGCAAATTGCACAGTTAAAGCCTCTTGCTGCAGTCACTCCAAAAAATATGTAGTGCAACTGGAGTCCAGTTGTCATGTTCAAAGTCTTTACTACACTTCTGTATGGATTATCAGGTAGTATGTAGGGTTCTAAAACAGCCTCTGCATCAAAGTTACTTTCTACAGTTATTTCAGGTTTCTTTTAGACAAATTTGTCTTCATCTGGATTTCAAATTCTTAGAGGGAAGCAAAAGATATTACACGTTGTTAAGTTCTGTGAAAGTGTTGGGTTTTTTATGCTGTTAAACTGTGTTTGTCCTACCTGGTGTAGCATTGGGGATGAAACCATTTCTAACAGTGAAAGTTGTGGCAGCATGTAAATGAATAAGTATTCCTAATCAACCTTCACACTCCCCTGTCTTCATCTTTCATTGGTTAAGTTTAAAAATAGGTACACATTCTTGCTGATGTGTATTCTTGTTGACTTTTAAGACTGAATGTAGCAGTAAGCCGTATACCAGGAATGTATTGAACAGGAAATGATTCCTAAACACTAAGAAATCAGGACACAGAGAAGAAATTGTGTCATGTATAGCACTTCCTATCCTAATGCTTATATCCATGCTTTTTGATGTCACAATTGCCTCCTTTGCTCCCCTCCCTATTTATATATTACATGTGGAAAATACTTTTTCTTAGTCTAAGGTCTTGTGCCTTTTTCACCACCTTTCTGGGTACAGGTTATTTTTACAACTATACCAAAGTGGCTTCTGCACTCTCTTCTAGTCTGTGCTTTTCACTGTTACCTTGGAATCTGCTGTGCTATAACCTTCATGTGTCTTTAACTGTTACTCATCTGTCTAAAATGGCAAGAAATACTGTCTCAGTTCTATTCTGATCATAGTCCTCTGAAAAAAGTGTTAAACTGGAACTCAAAAAAAAAAAGCTCACAAAATTGAGATTTCTGCTGGATATACTTTTCATATGGCTGGCATTAAAATCCAGTCGCTAGTAAATGGAGTTAAGTTTTTATTGTATCTCATTAAATGTATCATAATCCAGCTAAAACTCCCATTTTTTTAAATCAGTATTTACTTAAATATACAAATCAAGACTAATTTTGTAAGACTGAATTTCCATATGAATCTGAATGTGGGAAAAATGATGAAGATTGAATTAGAGATTGGATATTAGTTGTTGAAGTTGGGTATGAATTATAAAGTTTAAATAGGTTTTTTTTTCATTTGCCAGTGGGACCATTAGCTTTACTTTTTTCTCTAATAGACATTCCTGTCACTTACTGGATGTGCTCTTTCTAGCTATTTCATTTTCTCATTCAGTGCTGCTCACCTGTTTTCACCTTCTTGCCTTGTTAATTAGCTCACTTCCAGCCCAGTAACTGTTGAAGAAAGCTTCTTTATTAGTTATCTCTCTGTGCTCTGCCCTGCTGGTTGGGTTTTTTTCCCAATGATATAGTTAATTCTCTGTCTTGCTTTCTTTTCCTCCTCCATCTAACCACGGGGCTTACTTTGCTAGCCTCCAGCCTTGGCTTGACCTAGTGTGCCCTTTCCTCTACTCCTGTTTTCACACTATGCAGCATGACTGGCAATCCTCGTAGGAGCTGCTGTTTCAGGACACATTCATTCTCCCTTGCAAGAAGTGTCACCTTCCCCTGTGTTAGGCAGATCTATGTTACTATTTTAGCTGAATCCTTTTCCTAAAACCCATTCTTCTGCAAACATCGATCCATTCATCAAATCACTTTCTCATTGCATTTTTGTTGTTGCTTTTTCTGTGAAAATTGGTCTTGACTCTTCTCCTGTGCATCCAGCTTCTTGCTCTTGCTCTGTCAAAGGTGCTGGAGGTTTTCAGCTGATGTCCTCTGCACCTTCCTCACATTTCACTTAGTGTTGTCTTCTAAACTCACTTGCTTTTTGTTTTATTTATACCACTCTCCTCTGGCTCTCCCCCTTAAGGTAGCAGGATATTTTAGTCTGTTATCAGCTTGGGAAAGTAAGTGATTACTCTGCTTGCTTTTGCTTGTTTCTTAATCATTGTCACATGTTCATTTATTTTCTCCTTGAAGCTTTTTGAATACATTGGTTATGTACTTCAGCTTGATTTTGTCAGTTCCTCATAGACATACCTGTGTGAATGCCTCTTGTGTGAAATTTCAGCTGCTCTTTCTGGAATATCATTAACTTAACCAGATCTCAGAGCTGCTTCCTCTTCATTTTACCACCTCTGTCTTTCTTAGTGAATTGGGTGTGTTTTTTCCCCTTAAATCTTCCTTTTCTCTTGCAATATGTGACTGTCTTCTCTTATGTTTTGTGTGGCTATTTCTTCTGTAGATAAAATCCTGACACAAAATCCTGACTAAAATAAATAAATAATGAGAACTTTCAAATTACTTCTGTAATTCTTAAACTTTTGGTAAACAAGGCTTGTTTTCTCAAACAATTCTAGCTGGCAGCTAAACAGGTCAATGTGCCTTACATTTACTATCCAAATTTTTATGTGGAAGGAGTGAAATGAGTGCCAAAACCCTCTGATTTTGAAAATGCACAAACTACAGATTTAATTCTTGACAAACTATACATGTCTTGGCGCCTCCAATGCATGTTACAAAGTCAGTGGAGCTGTTTCAGGATCATTTCAACCTGCTGCTGGTAACAGTCTCAGCAACTACTTATTTTTGGAAGCACTGTCTGTATATGTATTCATTAGTAAAATATTGCAGGCAGTTTGTCTGAAGTTTGAAACTTTGCTTGGAACACAGTCCCTCTTGGCATATGTGCCCCCTCACATCCCAGCAGATACTCGAAACAAAAAGTAATTATCTTGGATATGGAACAAGAGCTCTAGATTAGAATGTGGGTGGGAGGATGAAGCATAAAAGACTCTGATATGAAGACCAAATTGAAATTCTTCTGGGATATTTTCTTCTCGTTTTGGGGTCTATGCTCTGCATTGTTCAGAGAAGGTAGTGGAGAAGACTGGGGTGAGAAAGGAAGAGTCTATCCTCTTGTTTCTAGGAGTTGAAGCTTCATACCTTTCTCTGAATCTGAGGCAGACTTTGTCCCGCAGGCCATGGAAATTGAGTTTATTTCAAGGTCTCCAGAGGTCACTTGTTTTTTAAAGATGATCCACTGGGGCTGTGAATAAGTGACTTTCTTGGGAGGGTGTTGCTTTCAAGTGTGGAACAGAGAAAGTCTTACAGATTGTTAGTGCAGCAGAAACTAACTGATCCTCACTCGTGCAATATTGAATTACTTATATCAAGGGAATGCTGACTCTGATTGGCTTGGTGCTCTCCAGCCAGGAGAACTAGGGTCAGTTAGTCCTTTTTGTGTGTTTCTTGCTGTAAGAGAGATTTGATATGTAGCTCTGAGGTTTCTGGACTAAGGTAAATTAGCAGTATATCCATCTATGTTGCATTGAGCGTAGTCTTGGCTGAAGGTGCTCAGTTGTCAGCTCTTGTTTTGCTTCTATCTAAAACTAGTTTCTTTTCCTCAGCTTTTCCTGCCAGATAGGGGAATCCTGCTTTAGGTCCCTGTCTTTGTCCTCGTAGTCTGGGAACTGTATGATTTTACAGACCACCTGCCAGTTTCATGCTTTGAGATTTAAACAATGTAAATTAATTGAAAAGCAAGTATCATTTTATTTTGTCCCAAGACAGTTTGGCAGAATTCCTTACCTGCTTTCCCTGCCATCAAGACCAGCTTCAACATTTTCCTTCCCTTTTAGTCAATATCCATAAATATTTGTCTGCTTTCAAAATGAAGGGAAAAAAGGAGAAAAAACATTCAATACAGTCTAGTTAATGATGTGTTACTCTGTATGGCCCAGGGTATCTGGTTGTTCCCTGTCTGTCATAACAATGCCTACATCTGCAGTAATGCAGAAATGTGCTGTAGCTCCTAAGATATTTTTCCTGAATAGTAATTTATTTTCTGAATTGCCAATAAAATACATTATATGCTATAAAAATATGGGGGACAGTTTTGCTTTAATGAGGGAAGGATTTATTTGCAGTATTTGATGACCTTTCTTTATTTGCATACCGTTCGTACCTAAAGCTGAATTATCAGAAAAGCTGTGGGTAGATGCTGCTTATTACTGACTAGAACATTTCTTTCCTACATCAAAGTGTCTCCTGTCTATGGTGTAATATGTCACTGTTGCAATATGTTTATCCGTGTCAAACTATTGCATTACAACACAAACAGAGGCATTCTGATCTATAAAAAATATTTTGATCAGTAGTAACTAGCAGCTGCCTTTGTTCTATTTTTAAATAATTAAATAAAATATTTCAGCGGTGTTAGATCATATGCTGTGCACATGTGCTCCTGACAGGTTATGAAGCTGAATCAAAGGATAAAACTGAGGAGAGAAATCATGTCCCTTCATAAGATTTATTTTAAATTTACTGTTACACTAGATAAATATAATATTTGGGTTTTAATCTAAATCACAGTGGAAACTTTGTAATTTGTAAATCTCCACCTCACAAAAATCCTGAATTTTTTTCAAGTATCAGTGTGACATGTTCAAATATGAGTATTTGAAGGCAACACATGTACAAGGAGAATCTTAAGAGCAGACTGTATGAAAACAAATTTTAATGGATGTCATACTGTAGAAGAATACATAAAGCATGTGTTGATGATGTCCTATTATTTCCATAGAGATTGTTTGAGACTTTGAATACAAATGTACTA